CTATTTTTTTGACTGTGATTGAACCAGTGTTTTTTTGTTACTTAACAACAAGTTTTCCATTTTTAAGAGTTATAGAAGAATAATATTTAAGTTCTTATTCAAAACATGCAACGTTTCACAAACTTTATACTATACGTCTAGTCGCTTATGCCATGGTAAGGTATGATATGATGAATCAAATTATTTGAATAAATATATAGCTTTAATATTTTGTAAATAGTTAATCTATATATTGAATATAGTTTACATATTCCCAACAAAATGGCAACCATATCTGGTACATAGAAGATTATATCATTTTGACGGATGATTTTATTGTGATCGCTGTCCGCCTCATTTTAATAAGTTGACGGTCGCATGTGCCCTTGAAATAAACAAGATTAAAGACAAAACGACAACTTAACGTGGTATACGTTCTAAGTGACATTTTCTATACTTTATACTACTTATATCACAAATTATTATTTTATAGATTTCACTGTTGCTCATCTAGTAAACCTTCGGTGTAAAAAGTACCTGTTTGAAGGTAAAAATGAAAAAAATATAAATGGGCCACCCGGATGCTTTAAGCAGTTGAATAAATATTAAAAATCGCTCAACAATTGACGGCAATATCGGTGAACATACAAAAGAATTATATCTCCTAATTTTGAATTTTTAAGTCGGTTAAACTATTAGTCCAACACGACTTCATTGTTTATATTGACTAGGTATAAAAAAAAATCACATAATCTGCACAATATACACTTAGATCGACGTAGATAATCTATTTATTTACAAACTCAATGGATTTAGTAACCAAATGCCGAGAAATACTAGACATGGAAATTATAATTGTATAGCAAGGAAAACAGAGCGGACACGGAGATTAGCATATTCTATAATGCCAATTATGCTTATTAGTTTCATCAGCGCGCAAATGTCCTAAAATACATAATTTTTAATATGAATGTGAATCCATTCGCATCGGTCTTATGAAAATTAGCATAAGCAATCAGTAACGGTGCAGTACAGAGAGTACTCTTATAACACAAAGATTCATTTCTTCAGTGCTAATGGAATTTAACAATTATTAATTATTGCGGTTGTTGATTATTAAATTATAAGCATTTTCTATGAAGGATTGATAGCCTTCGAAGAAATACTACTCTCCATTTTCCCTGACCACTCATCACTTGTACATTGACATAAAAGCGTATAAAAATAAAATAGCAACAGACATCCTAGCTGTTTGTAACCAATATAAATAACAGTTGCTTCTCTCTATGATATAAATGTCACTCATACAAGCATCATTTTATTCGGCCCAAAGTTTACGAGTTGTAATTAAGCAATCCAATCTCCACTCAAGCAGTATATTTTCTTTGGTATACACAAAATCTTATTTAGTATGATGAATAAATGTAATTTTTGATTATGGTAAAATCAAGGAAAAATTTTCGTAATAGGTTAGATATTATAATTGCATTTATATTAAAATGAGCAGTTGTTCAAGGCAGAGTAATATGCAGCATCATTATCATGCAAAATTATAGGGTTTCTTACAAAACCGGATTTGCTTCTGATTCATCCGTTTGTAAATGTAGACAAAGAAACAACACACCGTCGTATAGTACTATCGTATCAGTATGATCATTTCACACATCGAATTTTGCATCTTAACGTGGAATGTCACGGCTTACCTTTTATTTTCAATGTCAGTAAATATTTATTTAACGAAACTAGCACCATTCTGTTAGTGTTCCAATTTTCTGTTAGTGTTTCAATAGTGTTCATTTTTTATCATTCACGTTGTTCATTTTAAGAAAAGAGCACCTACTCGCTTTGTTTTTTTTTTTGTCACATTTTAGTTTTATGACATTTTAAATAATTCTTAATTAATCCTGATTGACAAGTATGAAAGAAAGGGATTCAGCGCAATGTGTATTATTTTGCCGAACCCACTTCATAATCAGCATTCACTGATTTCTTAAACATATTATCATATTACACATAGTCTCTCTTTTCTCTCACAATAATTAAGATCAAAGAAAAAACATATTTTTATTTAAATTACAAGTACCTTAAGATAATATTTATACTATTACTTGCTGTGTGCCTCGACTTCGCACGTGTAAATTATAGCCTATGTGAATGAAAGAATTTTCAAAAATCTGTCCAGTAGTTTCGGAGCCTATTCGAGTCAATAAACAATCAACACTTTCCTCTACATTATTTACTAACTTTCACCAGCGGCTTCGCCCGCGTGGTCCCAAGGGAAATGTTTAGTGGGATAAAAAGTATCCAATTATCTAAGTCAACTAATACCCTATCTGTATACCGAATTTCTTCAAAATCTGTTCAGTACTTTCGGCGTAGTCGACGGACAAAGATCCAAACATCAAAACAAAGAAACTGTCACATTTATAATATTAATAGGATATATATAAAAGCGAAAGGTCAGTCACTCATCACGAAATCTCAGAAACTACAAGTGCTAGGAGTTTCAAATTTTGCAAGCGGGTTCTTTTTAGGACGTAGGTGCTCACTAAAAAGGGATTTTATGAAATTCGACCTCTAAGGGTGTAAATTAGGGCATGAAAGTTTAAAACACAGGCGGAAGGCTCGTATTGGTATAGATTAAAGAATCTATTAAGAAGATACACCGTGGTAGGCAACATGCACCGCATGCTAAGTACCTAAAGCTTTCTGTCGAGAAAGTTCCACTCCACAATCTTTACTTGTCAATTTCTAATGTAAGAGAAATAATATTTCTAGTTATACGACTAGTTTCCACGACGTACTTATTAATACCAACTAGAAAGTTGTTACCAGAACTTGAATTTCAAATAATAAAAGCTTCTGAGAAAGTCTGTATCGAAACTTTGAAATACAGTTGATTCTCTTCTTTTAAGATATTTTAGCTCTTTTCTTTCAGATATTCTTCCTGAACTGATAAACATTAACAAATTTTAGATAATAATTCATTTGAGGCGATCGACATATAAATAAATCTAGCGCCTGCAAATTATCCGAAACATCTCAACAGACAATAAAATTTAATACTACACTTGTTCCTGTATCTCTGTTCCTATTGCTTTATTAAATGTTTGGCGTCACCGAAAATATAAAATATAAAAAATATACCAATCCAAGATGAAATAAGTAACAAAAACTATAAATATGTGTACCAAATCGTTAAACCCTGAAATGCTTTTAGTGATATTAGTGACCAATTACTTTTGTTTTAGTATATGAGGTTTTTTTCGTTTTGTCATTTACATTTACCAAACCCGGAACCTCTGAGCGGGTGACAACTTGTAACTGGCGTACAAAAAAAGAGCCTGAATTAAAGTAATTAGTCATTGGCGGTACGGCGCCGACGTTTCAATTACATCTGTTTTCACACAGTACTTGTTACAAAATACCAAAAATAATACGTCTCAAGTTATTGTCTACATGAAGATTTAGACTTGGAGCCAATAAATAAAAGAGAGCACACAATAGAAACTAAAAATATTTTGTCAGTTAAAATACTTGTAGATAAAATAAATATCTTATACTAATATTCAGATATCGCAACATAAAGCAAATTTTTATGCTAGGTCGTGGGCAACAAAAGTTACAAATACGAGTAAGTAGCACAGGATATTTTATAATTCCACTCATGAGGTTTAACTCTCAGTATAAGGAACCGTTACCGGTATAACATATGTGTGTGGAATCTTAAATATCACATACTAGATTGAAAAATATGAACACTATTTTAACATTTGGCACGCTTATTGCTAAAGAATAAGGAACTCGGAATATCAAAGTCACACTTTCGATTTTGCATTAAAAACGTTTTAAATATCTCAGCATGTGTTCGTACATACACTTTTGGCTGATATCAGGACGTATATTAGTACACTTACTTCTCACATCGATTCTCGATAGAATGCGTAAGATAATAAATATGGATGGATAATTTGTGAAGTGTCCTTAGTCGTAAATATGAAAAATAATTATTCACTATACTCGTATCCAGTACTCGTACTGAGTTCTTGATCTTGACGCGCTGATAAAAAGGTTCATCGCACTCTGATCTTTAAAGAAGGCAGAGATATTTTTGAATATTAGAAAAAGATATTTTTGATATATTTATCGATTGCCAACATGATATTGATCACATTTTTATTTTCAGATAGCTACACAAAGCGTTTATTATACCAATGGCGCACAGATAAAGTCAAAACGTAAGTAAAATTATTATTCCAACGTATCGTCCAAAATCGTCCAACATGCCAATACCCTAACCAACACAATATCGACACATTTCACAACACATCAAAACGATAACAAGATATTGAATCATTATACTCGGCAAATTTGCATTTCCAATACATAGAATTTCAAATTTATCTTATAGAAAAACACATGGAATTCGAACCTATAACCCTTTGATTATATAATAACCTTTGCAATCCGGCTAATGCTCTAACCACTCTGTTTACTCTGCGCAAGGTTAAAATTGGAATCCCATCTCGAGCACCTGAAACTTGTGAATTTCTAAATATGTTTCTATTAGATAAATAATTCAAGTAAACTTATTGAAACCACCTTTGCATCGTCCTATATTTTACTTACTATCCACAGAGAACGATTATTGGTCAAAGTTTTGTTTTATTTCAGTTTCTCGTTATATTACCATTTTTCTGTACCATAACTAAAACTATCATAATTTAATACATAACATCATCCTTTATATGTATTTATGATTTATCCTAAAAGTATGTATTTGTGCATGTAATGGCTATTATAAAACTGGGCAATAAACTTGATAATTATCTCAAACACTAGGTGTTATCTAATCATATTTATTTCTTGCCAGGTCAGAATCACATCCGCATATATTGATTACAGAGCATTTGATTTATTATTGTATTAATCTTCTATCGATAAATTGGTACCGTTATGTAAGCTGGAGATGATATACTTTGTTTAAATACTAACAATAAATTTGTTACTTTTCCTGCCGTTTTCTACTAAGGAGTCCAATTTGTATCCCTCACAGCATCTTGTATTTTTGTATCATTTCACTTTAGTTAATTATTGCAATGTTATTATATACCTACTTATTTATTTAATATGTTTATGGCAGTATATTACCCAAACTGATTTAGTAATATTAATGTCCAATAAAACAATTATCAAAACCAATCAATATTGATGTCATCATTAATATATAAGAATAAACAATGAACTATGATAATGAAGACTTTAATTAAACACATTGAACTAAAAAAATATGGGACTCTTTCAGATAATGACCCCATTATCTTCCCCGGGCCCATTCAAGAAGTACCATTGACTAGGTATGGCGCCGACGAGAACGACATCCCAGAAAAATGCAGGAACAAGAACTACTGCACTATCAAGCCAGTAGACTATCCTCAGGAGAGATTCAACAGCATGATTAAAAGTGTAAGTATTTTTGACCTTAGAAGAAACTGAGACTTTTGTAAGTTTTATAAAAATAATCCGAATTAGGAAAACTCACAACGTGCTATATATTTATCATTATATGTAAGTCCTCAATAATGTAGATATTTATTTTGATATTATTAGATGTTAGAAAACCCGAAAATTATCTATACCTTTAACTTACTATTTTCCCACAACTGTCATCTATTTGAGATAAAGTTTCCCGTAGGTAAAAGAATTTTTAAAATAAATGCAATAGTTTCAGAGCCTATTTAATGCAAACAAAAAAAACAATGAAATTTTTCCTCTATATAATATTAGTATTACATACTCTCCATAATCTCCATAAACCTGTACAATAAATAAATCGGTACAGGCACGCCAACGGCGGAATCCACAAAACGAAGCAAACATTACACCCAACAGAAGCGAAGTGTCGCTGTTAGAATCGGTATTCTCAAAACTGTTTGAGTTATCCCATCAAGTTAGCATCCGTTCCCAATTTGCATGTCAAATCTACATCTCACATATCACACAGATGAATCAAGAGCCAGATTCATCTGACGCCATCAGTCACGGACAAAGTACCCTTCTCCGAATAAATACATTGCCATAATCTATAAACAATCAAATATAATTTTACACTTTATTGTAGACTAGCAATATAACAAAAAAATGTCTTTTCCAGAAATCTTTGCAGCAAGTAAGCTTAGTCCAGTCCGATCTCGATGATAGACAAGGTGATCCCGAGGAAATAGACAACTGCGAAACACTAGTTGAGGTCAGTATATCATTAGACAAAATATTACGATATAAATGTAAAAGTAATAATAATAAATTATATACTTAAGGTAAAAACTGTATTGTACGTATATACGTGTTGTATTTACAAGAACATGATTGTTATAGCTATTACATTTCTAAAGAACAATTTTTTGAAAACATGAATTTCATAAGGACCCTAACATACATGAGTGTTGACGATAAAATGTACAAATATGATATTTATTACTCAAAGATTATCAAATGTTTTTCAAAACACTTATTGTTATTATCCTATACTCGTATGTTTAGGCGTACACTTTTTCTCTCAGCATGGCATTCCACATAGAATGCAATTTTAAAACAAGCATTTGATGAAATCACTGGTATAAATATATTTTTATATTTTAAATACAAAATTGGGATTTTGAGATTACTGTTAAAGTATTATACATATTTAAAGCTATACGGAAACAAGTGTTAAGGTGTAAATATTTTCATTTCAAATCCGTTTAAGCATCGCAAAAATATTGTTTACTGCAAGGATAATACTTAGAGCCACTTGATTTCGCGAAAATATGTATATAATAAAAAAATACAATTAATTAAAAATTTGCTAAGCTTGAATATGTTCAATTGCAACAACATAGGATAAAAAGTATACAACACGTACTATCTTATAAAAAAATAAACGGAGCGTGATTTATCTCATTACACTCTTTTCGTATTTCATGAACATTTAGAAGAACTGTTTATTGAATAAAGTGACATGTTTGTTATGCTGTTGATGTTAATTATTTACAATAATCCTGAGTCTTTAGTGATATGGTGAGTGAGTTTTTCCGTATTCAAGGAAGTTTTATTTTAACACTCATATATGTTAAGTGACACAATTTATAAAATGAATTTGATATTTATTTTGTTATTACAGTATTGTTAATATTCTTATAATTTAGGAAACAACGAACGACTTCTTTCTTTTCAATTATAGGTATAGTATATAAGAACATGGACACAAAATGCTAATTACGCAGCAAAATGGATAATAGTTTACTACTAAACCTGTATATATTTTCTTTGCAGTATGATAAATTGTACAAGGTGAAATCAGACGATGGTCAATGGCGCACAGTTGTCCAGGCACCAGAGAAAAACTATGTTCAGAAAGTGCGATTGGAGACTTGCCAGTAAGTTGTCAATTAGTTATTTTTGCATTTTTGCTATTTATAATGATAAATTCCCCGATAATATAATAAATATACAATTCAAATGTAACAATGGAATCTTATTTCCTTACCAGAGGTGGAGACCAGGAGTGCTTCGAGGGCATTCTTTTGTTGCCAGGCTACAAGACTTACTGCAAACAGCAATACAGCAAATGGTCATTCATGGTGGATACCACCGATGGTTCTGGCAACACCGAGAACATCACCGTAAACCTGCCAACGTGCTGTAGTTGTCACTACAAAAAAGTTTAAAAACGTTTACAACAAACCTGCTCAGACAGAAGTTGATCAATTGGAATTTATATTTTTTCGCATTTATCAGTAAACAAATTTAAAACACTTTAAAAAAATGGCGGTTATAAAGTTTATGCTCAATGCTCAAAAATTATCGACGTACAGGTAAAATATCGGTTATGGAATTTATTAGAGTTAGTCAGGACATTTTATCGATATTAAAAAGAAGTATGAGGAGTAGAATATTATTTATTACATAATATTTTAAAATGAAAGTTGATTCTGTGTTATATAGGTAGTCTGTTGATTGATAAATAATTTTAATTATGTAATGGAATGAGCAAGTATTTAAAAAAATTAAAGAAGCTACAAAAAAATATGTAATTAGATGGCAGCACAAATTCCAGGATCTGAAATGTCAGTTCATGACGTTAGACCAAAAGCGAATAGTATTGTCAATTTTGTTATGGATCCGATAACACACAACTCTATTAATACGAACGAATCTTTGAATAAATTTCTTTTTTATTTGTATAAAGAAAAATGGAACCTTACTTAATGGAAGTGAGCTCTTTATAAAAAAAGAATTAATGAAATATGAATATCAATAGAATTAATGCTATGAAATTATTTAAAGTATCATTTAGCTACGGTATACAATAATATTACCGGGAAATAGTTTTATAAATAAAATACTTATGCCTCAGCAGGTCTAGGCATTTTTCATTATAATATTTAACCAAAGTTCTGAAAACAATAACAACTAGGTTTTTAATAAATTTCGATACTCAATTTACTTTTGTAACGTCAGAAAGAAAATCACTAGTGACACCTACTTTGATTTCTAGAACTTATTTTTATGTTTTGAATACTTTGTCATTGTTTATTTTATTACAAGGTGGAAATGTCACCGTGGTGCTAATAGTTTTGTATTTTTATATTTTTGGTATAAAACGGTATTGTTTTCTTTATATATGTTCTTTTAGACTCATAAAAGTAAAAATAGCCATATTCTAAATATTTTATATATTATACTATCATCGTGGACGTCATCGTCCATATTATAACGAACTTGTATAGTAACATTTTAGACTGAAATTAAATTAATTGTAAATTATTTGTGTTAGTTTTATTTACAACTGGTTTACATAAAAGTGACATACAATAGAATAGAATAGGTTTTTCCAAGATTAATTATCTTTTGGGTCTTATTGGAATTCTAAGTAACCTTTGAGAAATCTAATCTAGTCTAATCAAAAAATCACCAACTATGAATTGATGTTGAACAGAAAAATAAGCTTAAATTGAAGACGAGACATCTATTGATTAGGTTAAAAAGTTAATTAATAATTTCAAATTCCTGTATAGAATTAGTTGCTATCCTCACGCATTCGGATTATTTTAGTTGCATGGTAAAGTTCTGATACATATCTAATAATAGCTAATAGCTAATAATAGCTGATGGTCAACCACTCACGCGCAAAATTTTGTGTGGGGGCTGTTTTATTGAATCGTGGTACAAGAAGAGCGAAGCTAGATTTTACTCATCGTACTGTCTCAGTAAAAATGCTTTCACAGTGTAGATAACAAAGAAAATATGTTTTTATTTTTATCGAGCTAATTAAATGCTCGCTCGTTATGTCAATTTTGTAAAAATATATTTTGTATGCAGATATTGCCCTGTTGTGTGAATAAAATTTATTCATAAAGACAAATCTGATATAAAGCTCGCTATATATACTTATATATCTACTTGCGCAGGACGAAATATCGAGAAAATACATAATTTGTTTTGTTTTAGTTTTTCAAAACAAATTGAATTAATTAATGATTAAAATTATTTTTTCTTACAGTTTGAGCCGCTGTACAGGGTGCGAACGAAATTGGGAGATTGGTATACCGTTGTCCAAGCTCCCGAGAAAAATTATGTACAAAAAGTGAGAACGGAAACTTGCAAGTGAGTGAAGTCGTTCTAACATAGTTATTATTTAGAGAATTAAGCATTAGGTGTAGAGTTCTTTTGTATAAAATTCCACCAGTATAGTTCGGTAACACGTCGCACACACGAAACGAAGAGAAGAATACTGCAATTGCTTGATTTCTTACTGGTTGCTCGCTGTAAATTTGCACACCGACGACATAGCTATTAAATTTTCCCAAATGTTTCTTAATATTCTAAACTGTATTACTAATGTTATTAAATTATAGATTTAAAAAGTTATCTTTCAAATGAAGACTTAAATTATAAGGTCGCAGAAACAGTGTATCCGCTTATTGTACTGTATATATACCAATAACAACAATTATATTTTCGCCGCCAGGGGCAACGATCAACCGTGCTTCACCATCTTCCCACAAAAAGACAGTTATACAACTTTCTGCAAACAAAAGTTCAGTACGTGGGAGTTTGTCGTCGAGGCCAAAGGCGGCACTGGGAAATTTGAAACGGTCAAAATCGATCTGCCTACATGCTGCTCATGTCACTACAAAATAACATTTTAAATATACGACATGCTATGACTTTATTTGTATATAGCTATTACGTTATGCGGTTCAATTTAATATATAATGGTTCAATTTAATATATGTTGGTGAAGTGCAGCGCAAACCACTTTTCAGTACCATAGCGTTTTCGTATTTGTAAACGATGAAACGAGAATTAATTAATTAGGTAACATAACAATAAAAGCCACACCCATTCTCACATATCCGTTTTTCCTTTTCGCTGGCTCTGTAACGCTTTTCGTTAAATTCTGCCGATGTCATGTGGACAAACAGCTTCTTCAGGATAAACTATTCAAGTTTGTGGACGTACTCTTTGCTACACGTCTCTATAAGTATATATCTCCGACTCGTCAAAAAATATTTCAAAAAAATATTGCGATTGAACCTCAACACAAGCCGGGGATTTTTTCAATTAAAATACCTTATGGACATAAAGCTTTAAATATTCAATTGTTTTTTTTTTCATTAATAAAATATCTGTGATATTAGTTTTGCTGTTGAATATAACAAACTGTTTTGTATTATTTTTTTATCTACATACAAACTATTATACTTGATAAATGTTCCATCACAATCCTTTATTAATATTTATCTTGCTAGAAGAATTCTCCAGTCTTAGATTTCCCATCTTGGGATACTTGGGACCGATATACGTTGAAGGCATTTTTCTGTAATATAGCATTTTTCTGTAATATACTTAAAAATAGCTGGAGTAGGTGAGCCTCTTTTTCAGTAAATATAGATACTTTTGCCGAATGATTATATTATTACATACCTACATTAATATTCTGTGATCTCACTTTCAAAAATAATAAATAGAGACAAAATTATTATAATTACCTTTGGTGGTTTTATTGCGTTCTAATTTCTATATTTAATTCTTTGTTTTATTAATGACACTAGTAATAAAGGTGTGTAGTATCACAGTTATAATATTTGACTGAAATTAAATTACATTGTAAAAAGTAACGTTTTTTATTTGAGCTTCTCGATTATACACCTAAACGTAAAAGTAGATTTTACATAGAAAATAAAAAAGTCTAGTGTGACTTTAAGTGTAAACTACCTACTATGAGGTAAACTTCAATAGTTAGTGTTTACAAAACCACTAGTATTTAGTGGGGGTCCAAGATTGGTCCCTTTTTATCCCTTTCTCGTTTTGAGCCAAGCTTCTAACTCTACAAGCTGTATCTTCACAATGTTTACTCCTTGGAAATGGACATAAAGTGAACAATTTATTCACGGTTTATAATTTTTCTAACAAACCATAGTTCTTAGCTGAAAATCTGTGCTGCGCCTGTTCCTGGCTGATTTAGATGCGCCGAACCTAGACCCTTTTCTAACACGAGGTGTTTGTTTATTATCTTATTTTTTAAGTAATTCCAATCTTTGTCGATGTAAACATGTGTAGTTGATAAAATAAACGTATTATCTATCTATTTTGTAGGTCTAAGTGTCTTAGGTGTAGTTACATAATCAGGTATCAAAGTATAAAGGCTATCTTATTGAATCTTTGTATGTTAAACAAAACACGTTAGCTTATCGATTTTATGAGATTAACCAAAACGAGCTTAAAAAAAAAATACGGAGCTATTTGAGAAAAGGCTAGGTTCGACATTGCGAATGTTTACACCGCCCCTATCTTTTCAATGCAATTTGTATATCTTAAATTTAGACACTCTTACTAGAGTAGGGGATTTAAATTAGCAATGATTTAATAGGTATATCGACCATCAATTCGCGTTAACATTATATTGATTTGAGTAGGTAATATGAGTTTGGTCTAGAAACCTGTAAGGGTAATCTTAAGAGGTTTTTAATCTGATACATTTATTGGGCTAGGTTAGAAACCCTGCGTAAAAGTTAACCTTTTGGGTCTATAGTAGCGAAAAAATAACAAGTGCTTGAAAAAAAATTTACAGAGTACTATAAGGTCCTGGATACATTCCGAGGCTGCGAAGTACGGGAAATAATATAACTATTCGATAAGGGCCATTCCACATTAAACTTCTGTATGCCTAATTCCTCTTTTAGTGATATTTTGGAAAAAGCAATTAAACAAAACTACAGCGAAAATACCACTTTGTTGTTTTTTATTGGCAATAGAGGTACTTTGAACAAACATAAATTATTGAAACATATAAACGAATGAAATTCATTAAGTATTGGGAAAGTCGTGATTTTTACGTTGCCGTATTGCAATAGTTTGTCCAATGAAGAAAATAATTTGCGATACAAACTGAATATGACATTGCACACTATATGCAATACTGCAAAGTTTCATGTTATTTACACTAACAAGTATGTTAGAAAATTTTATTTGACTAAAGATAAATATTATCTTTCCAATTATTATAAGAGACAAATAGCTATTTCGCTATCATATTTTTTTTTCTATAACAGCCAATAATTTGGCTAACCAGATTGCTCCTATTGAGCACTCTTCTATTGACATGACTGTCAGTAATAATCCTACTGACATTGCGACAAATTCGTTTTTAAATTAGATACTAAGACAAAAGAGGATTCCTCTTGCTTGCCATTGAATGGTCGAAGTAATAATGGAACCAAGAATGTATCAGTCATCAACCTAGTGCACCAAAATGTTCAAGGAATGTTGAGTAAAGAGTTAGAAGTAGAATTATTAATGAACTGTAACAATATTGATATTTTCTGTATAACGGAACATTGGTTAACAAGTTATAATTGCATTTTTAACTTCAATAATCACCTGGTTGGTAGCGCATTCATTAGGAAAAACGCAATGCGTGGCGGCGCACTAATTTTATTAAATAAAAAGTTTAAATTTAAAGAACGTAGAGATATAGCGAGCCTATCGGTTGAGGAAATAATAGAGATTGCCTGTATAGAGCTGGACCAGCTAATTGTACTGAGCGTAGATAGACCTCCTTCAAATTTAGTTTGTCAATATGATCTTTTTGAAACAGTTATGGATGGAGCTTTAAAAAAGGTATATAGCAAAGGCAAACGATTAGTGATTGGGGGTGATTTTAACGTTGATTTATTAGGAAACTCCAATTCACGTACAAGACTTGTAAATCTATTTATGTCCTATAATCTTGCGCACATGTTTAAGGAGCCTACTAGAGTAATTACTACTTCGTCGACATGTATTGACAACATTTTTACAGATCTGGTACCACTTTCAAAACAGATAATTAAACAACTACCGTCAGATCATTTTGGACAAATAGTTAGCTTTCCACATAAATCTACGTTTGTGTCTAGGAGAGATATTACAGTTGTGTCAAAAAGTATGAGTCGCTTGGAACATTTTAAAAATCAATTAGATAGTAAATTGTATCATTTGAAACAGAATAGTAATCCCAATGATTTGTACAAAGATTTCTTTGATGTTTATTGTACAGAATTCAATAAGATTTTTGTCCCAAAAAATATTAGTATTAGTTATCCTATAACTTTTAGTGTGTGGGCTACACCAGGAATCTACAAAAGTAGAAAAAGGCTCTATGAACTATATGATGAACGTAATTATAAGACAAGTGAGGACTTCAAAGAATATGTACGAAATTACTCTAAATTATTTAAAAAAGTGTGTCGTTTAGCCAAATGTTATTATTTAAATGCAAAAATTAAAAATAGTAAAGATAAAATTAAAATGACGTGGAATATCATAAATAGTGAAACTGGAAGAGAAAAATCCCGGAATATAAATTTTAATTTAAACATTGATAATAAAAAAGTAACATCAGATCTTGAAGTTGCTACAGTATTTAAAAATTTATTTACTAAAATTCCAGTCTTAATAACACAATCTTTGAATTCCTCTTCCACTGTTGCTGAATCTATTTTAAAAGCAAGTTTAAATAATACTAATAGCCAATTTAAGTTTCAACACATTGATTTTAAAGATATAATAAAATCTTTTAATCAGCTAAAGAAAAAAGAAAACCGCTGAGTTATGGGGTAATTCCATTGAAGTTTCTAAATCGGTAATTGAGACAATAGCTCCAATCTTAGCTTATATATTTAATGAATGTACTGGTTGTGGTATTTTTCCTGAGCTCATGAAATATAGTAAAATTATTCCTTTACATAAATCCGGTAGCACATCTGACCCTACTAACTTTAGACCTATATCCGTGCTACCTACGTTTAGTAAGATTTTTGAAAAAATCATGCTGGATCAAATACAAACGTACTTTTACAAGAATAAGCTTATGAATCGACGACAATTTGGTTTTACAAGGGGTCGCTCAACAACCGAAGCCGGTGTCGAGTTAATACAAGAAATTTTTAATGCCTGGGAGGATTCACATGATGCGTTAGGTGTTTTCTGTGATCTTAGGCATTTGATTGTGTTTTTCATGAAACATTGATTAGGAAACTGCATTTTTATGGATTTATAGATAACTCATTGGATTTTATTGTCTCATACTTGACTGACAGAGTATAGAGGGTTGATATCAATGGCAAAAGATTCCCTGGATCGAAAATTAAGATGGGTGTTCCTCAGGGCTCAATACTTGGTCCTTTCTTGTTTTTGATTTACATAAATGACTTGCCTTATTTCGTAAGGGATGATCACGAAATAGTTTTGTTTGCGGATTACACTTCACTTTTGTTTAAAATTAAAAGAGGGTTACCTCTAAATGACGATGTGAACAATTCTATCGCTAAAGTAGTACATTGCTTAAATGTAAATAATCTTCTCCTTAATGAAGGAAAAACAAAATGCTTAAAATTTGTACTACCTAATGTTAAAAAAGTAGATATAAATGTTAACATAAAAGATAAGAACATGGGTCTTGTGGATACCACAGTATTTTTAGGAATAACATTAGATTCTAAACTACAGTGGGGCCCACATATTGATAGATTGTCGAGTAGACTTAGCTCTGCAGCATATGCCGTAATGAAAATACGTAGGTTAACTGACATAGATACTGCCAGATTAGTATACTTCAGTTACTTTCATAGTGTAATGTCGTACGGACTCCTATTGTGGGGAAATGTTGCCGACATACAAACAATTTTTGTGCTTCAGAAAAGAGCAATTCGATCAATTTATAATCTTAGGATTAGGGACTCTTTAAGGGAGAAATTTAAGGAAATAGACATTATGACTCTTGCTTCTCAATACATATACGAGAACTTAATGTACGTTCGTAAAAATATTAGTTAGTTTTCTATAAAAAGTGATGTACACAATTTTAATACAAGAAATAAAAATAAATTAACAGTGCCTGTCACTAGACTGCAAAAAGTTAATAACTCATTCAAGGGTCTTTGTGTGCGCTTCTACAATAAGGTCCCAAGCAAAATCTACTATTAAAAAAATACTTATTAAAAAAGCTTATTATAAGGTATCCGATTATATAACAGATAAGAACGTTTGGACTTGAGACGATCCAGCAACTGGATAGGTCATTACTTCTAAACTCATTATCTTGTTTCCATTATTATTAAATTATTATGTTATCATTATAAGACCATATTTATTTATTTTTCTCTATCTCTGTTTATAATGTATTGATCTGGTAATGACATGGTTTTTGTAAATGTCAACTATTATTAGAGCTGGTGAGTTTCTTGCTCGTTCTTCTTATCAGTCAAAAGACGTCCTGAACGAGTGGTAGGGAAAAAAATGTTGGACGATTCAAAAGTACTTTTAAGAAGTCTATTTGAATAAAGATTATTTTGACTTTGACTTTGACTTTTGGTATATTCTGATAAAAAGGGTATATTTTGAAGATAATAAGACTTATTAATTATAATGATTATGAGAATGCGAGGTGAGCTTGATGATTGAATGCGAGCTGACTTTGTGTTATACATAAGAATTAATTAATATTATCTCGGATTTCATAAAAAATAATTCGATAGAGGTTAAGATTTTTTATCGTTATCGTACAATCAAGCCTTGGATTTCACCGGGTCTTGGAGGTGTGAATGATCCAAATAATGCCATACTGCGG